GAGGATTAAATGAGATAAAAATATATAAAAACACTTATCACAGTGCCTGACACATAGCAAGTTGAATTAATGTTAGCTATTATGATCTTCCCACATCAATAAATATAGCTCTACATAATAATTTAATGAGTTCTGTCACTGCTGTGTCTAATAGGAGTGACTAAAGCACTGCAGTGACTCACTAACACATATTCATTTGGCACACGAGCAAGTATATCCGTGGGATAAACTCCTAAAAACAGAGCTGCTGGTTCAAAGGCTATGCGCATTTGTAATTCGGATGGATATTGCCAAGTCGCTCTACATCAAGTGGGAGTTATTATGATCCTTTAACTTAGTCCTTATTGATGCATACTGGGGCTGTTTCCTTTTTTTAAAAAAATACAACCCCAGACTGCAAAGAACATTCTTATAAGTAAATCTTTGCATAGATCAACGATTATGTATTCAGGGCAAAGGAAGAAGAGTATGAGTAAATGCATGGAGATGGGAGAAGAAATGGCATCCACAGGAAGCTGCTGGTATCCGTGATGCACAGAGGGGAGCGTGACAAGAGGTAAGGCTGGAAAATCGAGTGGGACCAGACTATGAAGCACTGTGAATGTCAGTCATTCATTCAGTCAGTCACTGAATATTTAGTGACCACCTCCAACAGGCCAGGTACTGTTTTAGGCACCTTGTTCACATAGAGAAAAAAACCACACACACACACATTCCTGCCCTGGAGAAACTTATGTCCTAGCAAACAGAGACAAACAAAAAAAGAGAATATACCAAGTATAGAGAATGTCAGAAGGTGGTAATCCCATAGAAAGAAGAAAGAGTCCAGCAGGCTAGCAGGGATCGGGAGCACTGGGAGTGGGGGCAGCAGGGTACAATGTTAAACAGAGTAGTTTGTACTGATTCTAGCAATGAAGAATCACTGAAATAGGCATCAGACACATCCATCACCATCTTTGCCACATCCCACACCACCTGCTACTTGCTACCTAATGATTTTCTTCAAATCGACTTATCTTTTTGTCCTTAAATATATTTTATTTTATTTATTTTTTTAAAGATTTATTTATTTATGCATACAAGAGCTGGGGTACAGGCCAGAGATGCCAGGGGTGAGAGGATTCACCAGAGACAGGGTGGGGAACAGAACATGCAGATCTACTGAAATTCAATGCTGAGGGGAGCAGTGGGCGAGTCAGGAGAGGTCTGCTTTGCCATGTGGGTTGCTCCCTGGCCAGCAGGGGATCGAACTCGTGCTGCAGAGGCTGTGGACTGCTTCATAGTGTGGACTCCCTTGCGCCACCAGGGAGGCCCCTGTCCTTAAATATATTTTAAAGGAAACTTTATAACACTAGAGTAAATGGAAAAACCCAACAACACAGGACGTAAAGGTCTAGAGAGGCTGGAGGACATCGAAGGCTGGCCTCTTCCCTTAGCATCATAGACCAACTCATAAATAAGAACAAAACAACAGATCCTGTTTAAATTGTGTGCTTCTTATATGCCAGGTAGCTTAGCATCTTACAAGCAGCTGATATTTTTGCCTTCACTATAACTGTATGCAGTAGGTATGGTGATTATCCCCATTTTATCAGAAAGAAACCTGAGCAAGTGATTAACCTCCCAAATCTTAGTTTCCCCCTAAATAAATGGGGACAATCATGGGGCCATCGGAGAGAAGGGCCTATGGTTTCTGCCCACTCCAGGTAGTGCTTGGGGGGGGGGGCTTAAGAGAGGGGACAGAAGCTCTCAGCTATTCCCTGATGACTACCCACCCCCAAATTCCAATGATTGAAATCAGAACTAAATTACTGCTTTAAAATACAAACACCTTCCCCTTGGAGTAAAATTTATTGGTCACTTTAATTTTCCTGGGTAGGGCTTTAATTGGAAAGTCCAGATTGATTTCAGACTTTCCAAGATGGGAGTTTTGATTAGAGAGGGGGAGTTGAGGCCCCTTTTGGAAGAGGCAGCAGACAGCAAGGTGGGAAGAAGCAAAAGACAAACTGCATCAACTTCATTCAGTTGCCTCTAATTTGAGTTCTTTGGGAAAAGAAGCAGAATATAAATAACACATTAGTACAGATAATGCCTGGGTCTTGTTAACTTGCCTAGTCGGTCAAAGCATACTGCTGAGAAGTGTGCTTCATATATTTTTTAAAGAAACCATTTTCATTCACAGGAAAAAATATGGGACTTTGATCCACTCAATTACAGAATTTGAACGAGAGATGTCTTTCCCTGGTTTTAGTTACACTGAATAATAAGAATCCTACAGTCACACAAATTAAGCCAGGTTCCCTGAAAGACTTAAAACGAAGAGTTCAATATAATGTAGTAACCTCAAATATGAACATTGGTGCTGTCCTTGAACATCTTATTTATAAAGGGAAATTAATCTTTGTATAGAAAACAATATTTTAAAATAGCTTAGAGAATATTAGAGGTTAAAGAAAAGGATCTCATGGGCACAAAAAGCCAGGAGCAGAAGAGGTTAGATGTCTGGTGCAGAGCGGGCAATGCCTAATGACCCAAATAGCCTGTGAATGTGATGTATTATATGGGTCCTTTGTCACAGACAAAAACAGTCATGGGTCTGTTTGTTAAAGAACAGCTGTGACAGGAGAGAAGTCCCCAAAAGCAAGCATACTAGTCCTGATTTCACCATGTCAGAAAGGAGAAAATCAAAATCCTCTGTTTGATAGTCTGGTGGATGTGGCATCAGCCTACCATATAGGTTCTTCTGCCCAACTTTGCGGAATCCCAGACAAGACTCAGTCAACCCTGATGCTTCCGCTGGAGGCCCTATTTGGTTAAGTGAGATTAGCAAAGTTTGTTGCTTGGTAACATGCACTCTGTAAACACTTGATTCTTGGGTCTAATGAAATATACCAAGTACACATACTGTTTTTTCGCCCCCCCCCCCTTTTTTATTGCTTTCATGTCACCAAGATCCAAAGGTCTTCAGATACCATGCTTCCTAGCTTTCCAAGTACCCACAACCCCTAACCAACAGGACTCTGGCAAATATCAGTAAGTTAGAGTCTACTTCCATCCGTAAGGGAATTAGAGGCTATATACACGCTGTGTATGTCACTGTGGCTTTAGCAAGTCACAGCATCTGGGTATGACTCATCTATGAGTTTGTCTTGAAGATGACCAAAAGAAGTGGGAAATCATAGGAAGCTATTCCTAAGAACTTAGAAGCCTCTGGAGAAAGGTCAGTTTATTTTCTAAATCAAATGGGATTATCTTTTGAAGGAAGTATGTCACATATATCAACTACACAAATGAATATGCATTGCTGATGGGAATATAAAATGGTAAATTCACCTTAGAAAATAGACTGTCAATTTCTTTAAAAGTTAAAAATGCACTCACCATATAATACAGCAATTCTATTTGGCATTTATCAATATTCAAGAGAAATTAAAACACACAAAAGCTTAAATACAAATGCTCATAGCAGTTTTATTCATAATAGCCCACAACTGAAAACAACCAGATGTCCATCAAAAGGTCAATAAACAATGAAGTACGTACAACTCAATAATAAAGAAGTGAACTAGTGACACAGGAAGCAACATGGATGGATCTCAAGGACATTCTAAGTCAAAGCAATCAGACACAAAAACGTACATAATGTATGATTACATATTCATGAAAGTCTGTAAGAGAGAAATTTAATCTATCAGTGATGAAATGGAGATCAGGAGTAACCAGAAACCACCAGTGGAGGTAGAGGAAAAATAACTGCAGAGCGTCAGCGGACATTTTCTGTGGCAATGGAAACGGATTCTATCTGAACTGCAAGCTTCAAATGGGTGCAATCTGAAGTATATAAGTTAAACCTCAGTGAAGTGTTAAAAACAGCATACAAGACTGTGTGCTTTGGTGATGGGAAAGCTATGGTGACCTCACCTGAAAGGAAAAATCTTGTAAAACAATGTTACTTCATGAATAAATAAATCACAAATGGAAAACTTCAAAAGTTGAAGATTCAAAGCTATTTCTGCTTAGCAAATATTCAGCATTAAACATCATATACAGGGGCCTCCCTGGTGGTGCAAGGGGTTAAGACACAACCTATGAAGCTATCCGCAGCCTCTGCAGTATTAGTTAGATCCCCGGCTGGGGAGCTACCCACATGGTGCAGCAGACCTCTCTTGTCTTGCCCACTGCTCCCCTCAGCAGTATATTTCAGTCAATCTGCCTGTTCTGCTCCCCACTCTGTCTCTGGTGAATCCTCTCACCGCCCCATGCCTCTGGCCTGTACCCCAGTTCTTGTATGCACAAATAAATAAATTTAAAAAAAATAAACATCATATATAAACTGTATACCAAAATGCAGTCCCTACAATTACAGGACACACAAGCATGTATGCATGGTGGAAGGAATTGAAATTGATGCTATTTGTAGCTGGTGGATAGTTTACCAGGCTCTTTTAAACAATGCCTACCATGTGGGAGGAGTGGCAAAAGGAATAAAAGGCAAATAATACTTCAGCCGGAAAAAATACCAATGTATATAACAGGCTGGTCAGGAGAACTGGAAACAAATCAAGGACAAGAAATGATATTCTGTATCACCACAAACTCTGGTTCCTCACTGACATCCCATGAGATGCTTCTCCAATAGAATGCATTATCAGTCTGACCTAGTCTAACTCAGCACTAATGTTGATAAAATGTCAGCAAAAGTGGTACCAGTGACTGGAACAGAGAGTAGAAAATGGTATGGGTGTACCTCATTTTATTGTTCTTTGTAGATACTGTATTTTTTTTTAAACAAATTTAAGATTTTGGCAACCCTGCCTCGACAAATTATTCTGGTACCATTTTTCCAATAGTATGTGTTCACTTCCGGTCTGTGTTATATTTTAGTGATTCTTGCACCATTTCACCCTTTTTCAGTATTGTTATTTCTGTTAGGTGATCTGTGGTTAGTGATCTTTGATGTATAATTGTAATTGTTTTGGGGTGCCATAAACCATACTCACATAAGATGGTAAACTCAGTCAGTGAATGTTGTGTGTGTACTGACTGTTCTACCGGCCAGCAGTTGCCTGATCTCTCTCGCTCTCCTCAGGCTTCCCCATTCCTAGAGATAAAACAATATCCGGCCAATTAATAGCCCTACAATGGCTGCTAAGTGTTGAAGTGAAAGAAGAGTTTCACATCTTTTACTTTATTTTTTTAAATTTTTTTTTTATAGAGGCATGTTTTATTTATTTATTTGTTTGTTTGTTAGTTTTGTTTATACATGCACTGGGTACAGTCAGAAGCACGGGAGGGTGAGAGAATTCACCAGAGCCAGAGTGGGGAGCAGAGCAGGCAGAAGGACCGAAGTACACTGCTGAGGGGAGCAGCGGGCGGCAGGAGAGGTCTGCGCACCATGTGGGACCCTCCTCTGGTGGCCGGGGAACAGCCGGGGATCGAACCGGTGCTGCAGAGGCTGCGGGCAGCTTTGCAACCCAGTGCTCAACCACTGCACCACTGGGGAGGCCCCACATCTTTTACTTTAAATCAAAAGTCTGAAATGACTAAACTTACTAAGGAAGAGACATCAAATTTGGAGATGAGATGGTAGCTAGGCCTCGTGGGCCAAAAAGTGAATGCTAAGTGAATGCAAAGGAAAAGTTAGCTAATGCAAAGGAAAAGTTTGGAAGGAAATTAAAAGTGTTGCTCCAGAGAGCACATGAGTGATAAGAAAACAGTCTTATTGCTGATATGGAGAGTTTTAGTGGTCTGGATGGATCAAACCAGCTATATTTTCTTAAGTCAAAGCCTAATACAGAGCAAGTTCTAACCATCTACAATTTTATAAGGGCTGAGAGAGGTGAGGAAGCTGTGGAAGAAAAGTCTGAAGCTAGCAGAGGTTGGTTCGTGAGGTTTTAGGAAAGACGCTGTCTCTATAACATCAAAGTGCAAGGTAAAAAACACCAAGTGCTGATGTAGAAGCTACAACAAGTTACCCAGAAGATCCAGCTAAGATAAAGGTACATATACTACAGATTTTCAATATAGAGAAAAAAAAAACAGCCATATTGGAAGAAGATGCCATCCAGGGCTTTCATAGCTAGAGAGGAGTTGATGGCTGGCTTCAAAGCTTCAAAGCACGGGCTGCCTCTCTTGTTAGGGGCTAATGCAGCTGGTGACTTTAAGTTGAAGCCAATGTCATCTTGAAAATCCTAGTGCCCTTAAGAATGATGCTAAATCTGGTCTGTCTGTGCTCTATTAATGCAACAACAAAGCTGGGATGACAGCACATCTATTTACAACATGGTTTACTGAATAGTTTAAGCCCACTGTTGAGAACTACTGTTCAGAAAAAAAGATTACTTTCAAAATATTACTGCTCGGCCTCCCTGGTGGCGCAAGGGGTTAAGAACCGCACTATGAAGCGATCCACAGCCTCTGCAGCACGAGTTCAATCCCCGCTGGCCAGGGAAAAACCACATGGTGAAGCAGACCCGCTGCTCCCCTCAACAGTGTATTTCAGTCAGTCTGCCTGTTCTGTTCCGCACTCTGTCTCTAGTGAATCCTCTCACCCCTCACATCTCTGTCCTGTACCCCAGCTCTTGTGTGCATAAATAAATCTTTGAAAAAAACAAACAAACAAACAAAAACCCAAAATATTACTGCTCATTGACAATGCACAGGGACACCCAAGAGCTCTGGTGGAGAAATACAAGGAGACCCATGTTGTTTTCATGCCTGCTGACACAATATCCATTCTGCAGTCCATGGATCAAGGAGTAGTTTTAATTTTCAAGTCTTATTATTTAAGAAAGACATGCCATAAGGTTATAGCTGCCATAGATAGTGAATGCTCTGATGGATCTGTCTACAGTCAATTAAATACCTTCTGGAAAGGATTCATCATTCTAGATGTCATTAAGAACATCAGTGATTCCTGGAAGGTCAAAATACTGGCAATAACAGGAGTTTGGAAGACACTGATTGCAACCCTCATGGATGACTTTAAGGTTCAAGACTTCAGTAAGGAAGTAACTGCAGGTGAGGTGGAAATAGTAAGAGAATTAGAATTTGAAGTGGAACTTGGAGATGTAACTGAATGGCTGTGATCTGATAAAATTTGAATGGATGAGGAGTTGCTTCTTGCAGATGAACAAAGAGTGATTTTTTGCCATGGAATCAATCCTGGTGAAGTTGCTGCGAACATTGTCAAATTGACAGTAAAGGATTAAGAATATTACATAAACTTAGTTGACAAAGCAGCAGCAGGTTTGAGAGGATTGACTCCAACTTTGAATGAATTTCTACTGTGGGTAAAATGCTATCAAACCGCATTGCATGCTACAGAGAAATCCTCCATGAGAGGAAGATTTGATCAATCCAGCAAGCTTCATTGTTGTCTTATACTAAGAAACTGCCAGCAACCACCATCCTGATCAGTCAGCAGCCATCAATATTGAGAGAAAACCCTCCAGCAACAAAATGATTATGAAACCCCAAAGGCTTAGATGATGGCTACCATTTTTTTAGCAATATTCTAAATTAAGGTATGTACATTTTTTTAGACATAATGCTATTACACACTTAACAGACTACAATATAACGTAAACATAATTTTATATGCACTGAGAAAGCAAAAAAAAAATTATGGTGACATGTGTTTTATTGTGGTGGTCTGGAACTGAGGAACCTGCAAGATCTCCAAGGAGTTGAATTTTGCTATTTTCTAGCATTCTCTATGACAAATTAGGGCCAAAGGATGGAAGGGTAGTTTTAGTTGACTTTAAAGAAGAATTTTTTGAGTGTGTAAAACTTTCCAATCATTTAAAGGCTCTCTGGACTCTTCCTCAATGAAAAGTTCAAACAGATGTGAAGAATCCAATATTGATAAGGGAACACTGATGCCCTAATTCTCTCCCTCTCATAATTAACAATTGCATATGCATTTCTAAAATAATTTTAAGTTATAGTATTTCTTGATTATACAATTAAAAGATATTCCATGTGGAAAAATCTGAAAACACAGATAAACAGAGAAGAAAGTAAATGAAAACAAAATCATCCATCTTCTCACCTCCCGGGCATTTAAACATTTTGGCATATAGCCTTACAGACTTTTTCTACTTTATATCCATATAAAATATATACATATACTTTTTAAAAACAAAAATGAGAACCCATTAATCACACTGCTTTTTTTATTTTACAATATAGTGTAAACATCTTTCCATGTCAAGTGATATATGACCGTGTCATCATTCTTAATGGGTGCAGAAATTTCCATGGAATGAATGTACTGTAATTTGTTTAACCCAATGTTTTCCAAAGGGTATTCTACATGACATCAATCCCATAAGATGTCCCTCAAGGAACTTAGGTCAAACAATTTAAAAATGCCTCACACCATACTCCTTCCTGGGCTTTCACAAACAAGCTTACCTGAGTTTCTCAAACTTATTTGACTCCCTGTGGCCTCCCTCTTTTTAAATTTTCAGGACACTTACTTATTAACATTTTATAACACACCCTGTGAAATGCTGGTTTAACTGATCCTGCATGCGAGGTATTAAAAATCTTTTTTTAATGTATGTATTTATTTTATTGAGGTGACATTGATTTACAATGTTGTTTATGTTTTAAGAGGTATAGGATCTCCTCCTTCAGGTGTCATTATCACACCACACCCACCACCAAAACACCCATAGTCCCCCACCATTTATATTTACATAAAACTTGTTATTTAAACAATTTTTAAGTATACAATCCAGATGCATTAATTCACAATGTTATGCGACTATTTCCACCTTATTTAAAAACTTTTCATCATCCCAAATTGGAACTCTGTATATATTAAGAATAATTTAGTATTCTCCCTCCTACCTGGTAACCTGTAATCTAACTTCTGTCTCTATGAATTTGTCTACTCTAAATACTTCATATAGGTGGAGCCATTCAATGTCATTTTGTATCTGGCTTATTTTACTTTCTCAAGGTTCATTTATGCTGCAACATGCATCAACTTCATTCCTTTTCATAACCCAGTAATAAATGTACTACTATATGAATATACCATATTTTTCACCATTCATCTGATGATGGACACTTCAGTTGTTTCCTCCTTTTGATTACTGTGAACAATGCTGCAAGGAACACTGGTGTATAAGTATCCTTTTGAGTCCTTGTTTTCAAGGAGTAGAATTGTTGGATCATATAATTCTAAGTTTTATATTTTGAGGAACTGGCACAGTTCCTCACTGTTTTCCACAGTGGCTACATCATTTTACATTCTATCCAGCAATGTATAAAGGTCTATTTTTCCATAATCTCACCCACAATTGTTAATATCTGTCTTCTTGATTATAGCCATTCTAGTGGATATGAAGTGGAACCTTTTTGTGGTTTTGATCTGCATTTCCATAATGACTAATGACACTGAATATCTTTCATGTGCTTATTGGTCATCTGTATGTCTTCTTTAGAAAAATCTCTATTCATTAACGACCTTTGTCCATATGTTTTGGGGTTGTATGTCTCTCTGTTGCTGAGGTATAGGAGTTTTTCTTTAATATATTCTGGACTAAGCCCTTAGCAGATGTGCTTTATAAATATATTTTTCTCATTCCATAGGTTGTCTTTTCACTGTTTTGTTAATGTCCTTTGATGCACCAAAGTTCTTAATTTAGTCCATTTAATCTATTTTTCTTTTGTTATCATGCTTTTGGTGCTGTAACTAAGAATTCATTACCAAATCCAAAGTCATAGAAATTTACCTGTTTTTTTTTTTCCCAGGAGTATAATGGGCTTAGCTCTTATTATTTAGGTAAGTTGACCTATTATGACCTAATTTTTTTAATATGGTGTGAGGTAGGAGTCCAGCTTTACTAATTTGAGTGTGGATATTAAGTTTCCCCTGCACCAGTTGTTAAAAGCATTAGGCTTTCACAATTACAAATAACATTACAATAAACAGCCTTTTCAACCTGTCCCATAGTTTTCCCTGTGAAAAATTTCTAGTAGACTTACTATATTGAAAGATGCATTTATTTCAAAGGCTTGTGACATATAATATCAAACTTATTCCAGAAAGGATACTGGGAATCCACCACAATGAATCCAAATACT